ACTTTTTTTATACAGCTATTATCCTATATACATGTCCTCTGAAAATTGTTTTATATTGTGGTTGATAGTCCATGAAGAGTACTACAAAGCAGAATAATTTGATATTTCCTTTGTTTACCTTTAGAAGAAATAGAAAACAAAAATCTTTTTTTCTTGGACATGGCAAAACTATTTATAACACAAATTTCGACACTTTTAACTTCTTCACCTGAAAAATGATGGAATTCACCAATTTTTTTTTGAATTTATTTTCTCAACATTATAGTTTATGGTTGATCGAAGATTCCTATGAAGTTAACATCCAAGGCATCAGATGAGTACTCGAGTATTTATGGTGTATTAATGTTAACAAATTGTTCAATGAAATGACTGATACATTTTCAATCATTTTTCTCATTAGAAACGCCCTTGATGATAAAGCTTTTCTATGACGATATCGCTCTTTTCATCGCTTGCATCTCACAGCAAAAAAAAATAGGTAACCCTCAAGCATATAACCTTAATAAAGGCCATCAAAACTGCATCTCAATGTATAACAGACAACATATCTTGATTTGCAATATGGTCCCATTCATAAATTTTTTTTGCTTTTACAGGTAAATATTTCAGTTTTTCGTTTGGATATTTTGACTAACAACGATTTATATTAATCTGACATTATTGTAATAGATAGTCCTTAGTAGAACACTTGTTTTACAATGAATCACACAGCCAGATCCTATGGCTTTGTTTTAACCGTATAATATTAAGATACGCTAGATTTTTGAGAAAGAAGAAAATAATATAATCATATAAATTTATATTAAAAATAAGAAAACCCAGAGTTCTCTATGGTGGTTATCTAGTATAACTACTAAAGAGTCAATCCTAAAAAAATGATGCTTATAGTTCCTTCAAGCCATCGAAAAATCATTCTACAATAATAAAAAAAATTGTGCAAGTTTTTTTGCAAACACCTGTATATATATGCCTTAGCTAGATTCGACCTTGATAATCAAAAGGCGCAGAAATGCGTTCTTATGCGCTTCCACTCTGTATTAGTCTGAGATTTGCAGTCGCTCCAAATACTACTGTTAACATACTGTATACATGTCTGAGACAATATTCACGATGATCTTATAATAATCAAGTCATAACTGACTGCTATTTTTTGTGTATAGCTCCTTGGATCAGTCTCGAACCTGACAGGTCTCATTTAAAGTAATGATAGCACGTCGAAGAATTCTGTAATATAGAACTTATTATTTCTTTAAATTGAAAGAATATTTACAGACAGAATTCATAGGAATCAAAAGTTCTTAAATTTAATAAAAACTTACATAAAATGATCCATATGTATTTTTACATGTTGCCGGTGGAGGACATGTATGATTACCAATAGCACATTCATCAATATCTATTTAAATATAATAAATAAATAAATAGAAAAAAAATAGTCTATTGAAATTACCTAGACATTGAAGATCTTCCATTTGAAGACCATTTGCACAAGCAAATGTTTGTACACAACGATAAGAGCCAGGTGTATTATCACAACGTTCACCAAGTCTACAGGGACTTGGATTTTGAGCACATTCATTTATATCTATAATAGAATATAAATAGTTAAATATTTACAAGATTAAATATAATTTATCTTACCAACACATTTTCCCATTGCTGTTACATTAAAACCTGATCGACATTGAACTTTTTCACAACGACCATAAAAAGCATTAAATTTTTCACCAAATGTACAATTTTGTGGTACACATCTTTAAAAATAATCAATTTAGACTATAATAAGAGATAAAAATAATAATAATAATAAATACTTGTATGTTCCCGGAACATTTTTACAAATATATCCAGGTCTAAACATAAAAAACACAATAAACTTAGAAAAAAGGCCTTTTTTTTTATTTTCAGTCTTAAGGATAGATCATCACTTGCCTACACTCATCTATATCTTGTTCACATTCATCAACATCTAAACAAAAAGAACTCGAGATCCATAAATAAATACGAAAACTCTGTTTCAAAACCTCTCTCTTACCTACGCATGTCTGTGTGACAGGATCAACTTGATAACCAGTTCCACAATTTCTTTCACGAATACATCTTTCAAAAAAAAACAAACAAACAATAATTATTCATTAAAAATAAATTTCTTTACCTAAATGAACCAGGCATATTCTCACAACGATGTCCAAATGTGCAATTATGTTTATAAAGAGCACATTCATCAATATCTATTTTAAAATTGATTGAAAAAAAACAGAACAAAGAAAAAAGAAGAATCATTATTTACCTCGACATGTTCTATGTTTAATTGACCATGCATAACCAAATTCACATCCTTCAACACATCGGAAACTACCTGGTGTATTCTCACATGTCATTGTTTTTGGACATGGATTTGAGAGACATTCATTAATATCTATATGTTAAAGATTATTATTCAAAATAAGATTAGATTACATATAAATAGATACCTCGACATCGTTCATCATTATCCATTTCAAAACCAATATCACAATTTACTAGAAAAGAAAATTAAAAAGATAAAATGATGATTTTATCTTCTTACAAGATTTTGCCTTTTGACAACAATTAGTAAATTGTTCACCACATCGTTCATCAAGTACAGTCACCGGTTCACAATCTGCTTTATCTCGACCAGCTCGAACACCTAATTCGCAACATTTACAACATATCTATATGTACATATATACATATATGTATAAATATTTTCAAAATTTCATGTTATATAAAACCTGATAAGAATCTTTTGATTCAAGTTTTATTTGATTACATGGTAATAAACGAAGTGCTGTTTTTAAACCTTCTTCACAAAAATAACTACGTAAATTTGATAAACAACAAATATGTGTTAAAAAACGACAATTTGTTGAAAGATTTTTAATATTTTCTGTTATTAATGATTGTAATGCTACACTACATGTTTTAGTACGCTCAGCTTGAATGCGACCTTGTTCACAACATTGATCAGCATTATTACGAAATGCATCTAATACATATATAAATATATAAATATTATCCAATTATATTCATCGCTCTTGTTTATTTACCTGAAATTGGTCGATCAATAATCAAATATATGAGAAGAAGAATGATGATTTTAGAAAAGATACAGATCATTTTATGTATAAGTGAAGTATATGATACGGGTGCCGAGGATATGCCAACAAATCAGTCAGTAGTATATTATGAAATAACTCTTTTTTTCTCTTTTATCTTCATTGTTGATACGATATTACAGCAGCATGAGCAGTAGTTTTATCTGACCTTCGCATCCGTCCTCATAGTTTATCCTATCCCTCTTGTAACCACTTAATCGATTGTCAACGACATATTCTGACTATTTTGTATAGAACGTTAAATATCTATATTGTGTCATACATTCTAATGTTTGTTTCTGAGTGTTTTCAACGGAGGCCAATTGAAAAATCATTTGTGTATAATAAAGAAAGCATCAGTGTAAATTATTATGTAAGCAACAAGAAGAAATCCAATTATGTGTTGTATTGAATATGGCTTCACATAGTTTTTTACATCAAAAGTCAAACAAAAAGAAAACTAACAATTCTGTTTTACATATCAAAATATTCTACAACTTGCATGTTTTCATTTTCTGACTTTTTTTTTGTTGTCGTTCATACTATTAATCTGATAATAGGCTCTTTTTTTTTACTATTGTCAATACTACAAAGAGCAATCTATTGACATCCGTTATTTTTTTTTGTGGTGAAAATAAGAGCATAAGAACGACAAGAAATCTCCTACACATATATATATATATATATCTATCTATATATATATAACAGCAACCGCTCGGTGTTATTCTCATTAGCTGTAAGAGAAGAAATAGAAAACGAGATAGAAAAAAAAATGGTTCGACCACATACACTATCAATGTCGCTCGTCGATATATGTAGTATGTATATACTATACTTCTTCTTGTTCTTCATGAAACATGCAACTTAGATCTTAACTATATTCTAGAAACTCTCTTTCTTTATTTAATTTTTTCTTTGTCAATGTTTGTTTTCTTTTCGATCATTTATAATATTGCAAAAAATTCTCTTCTTTTTTTCTTTTTCTCTTATTAACTAATGCTCGTAACATTGAACTTGTTCGTTTTGATTCAGTTACATTTACTTGACAAACATTATATACATACGTATACACCTTCGTTTTTACCATTGCAAACCTTTATCTATAGGAAACAGAATAAACCGACAATAAAAAATGCACACATATATCAACAGATGCCAGCACAAGAAATGAGACGACTTTCTCCTCTTTCGAGTATTTTTTTTCCTTTTTAAATTTACAACTAGAAGAAAAAAAAGGAACACGATAAAACGTAATAAGCACGAGGAAAATAGTGGCACACATAGCGCCAGAGAATAGCTGATAAAGAAAGAGTTGACGTGAGAAGAAGAAAAAGAAATCAAAGACAAAATCTTGCTTTTATACACGTAAACATCTCTTCTTTCCCATGTCATGCTCTTTCTTCCGCCATTATTTTTTTTCTTCTATGTTCGTCTATTCTAAATAGAATAATGATGAAGAATAGATGATTATCTGTCTATTTCTTAGAACAACACACATAATAAAAGCTAGAAACAAAAAATAGATTTTCTGCTCGAATGCAAAATCGGTCAGGCGTCGTTCAAATAACGTTACTAGTGTCATATATCAAGTCATTATTCTAACGAGAGATGAAGATTAAAAGAAAAAACAAAATGAAGGGTCAAATAATACAAACATATATTTCTATCTTTTAGATCAGAATAATAAATACATGCAATTTCAATATATAATTTTTATTCTGATATGTCTACATATCGATATATTAAACAGTTTAAATAATAATGATAATTCACCAACGAAAACAATAACAACAGAAACAACAACAACTATAATTAATCCTTATCATCCACGTGATCACATTGTTAATCCACATAATTTTTCTTATATACTTAATCCTGAATATTCTGTATGCGATAATAGTTCATCACCTGTTTATTTATTAGTTTATGTACATTCGGGTCCAACAAATTATCAACGTCGTGTTGTTATACGTGAAACATGGGCAACAAGAACATTATTTCCTGATTTACGTCTTATTTTTATGATTGGTAAAACACTTGATAATAATGTTATGAAAGCTATTGAATATGAAAATGAATTATATCGAGATATTGTACAAGAAGATTTTATTGATTCATATAAAAATTTAACATATAAAGGTATTATGGCATTAAAATGGATATCAATATATTGTTCAAAAATAAAATATGTTCTAAAAGCTGATGATGATATTGTTGTTAATACATTTACATTAACAAATCACTTAAAATTTCTTGATAAACACAATCCAAATAGACATAGCACTATACTTTGTTTATTATGGCAAGCTATGGGTGTAATGAGAGATAGGTGAGAAGAAGAATTTAAATACAAATAATTATTATTTTTTTCTTTGTTTCTCTTTTTAGTAAATCAAAATGGTATTTAAGTAAAGAAGATTTTCCTTTAGATAAATTTCCACCATATTGTAGTGGTTCAGGTAAATGTTATATTTTTATTATCTATCATAGGAAAAGAAGAAAAGGACATTTTTTTCTCTTATGATTTGGAGATAATTTTCAAATTGACCTTGAGGAATTATTATGGACCATAACTAATTAAGTTATTCCGATAGAAGAAGTACAGAATATAATAAGAAATAAATAGTGAGATGTACTTCTGCTCGAATTCTCAGATTATATATATTTTTTTTTCTAAAATAATTATATAATATCAAATAAATAAGTTCTATATCTTTTTTTATTGTATAGCCTTTATTCTAACTGGAGATATGCCTGCAAAAATGTAAACAAATATATTCTTTAAATTAGTTTCAATTATCTAATAAGATATTCTTCTTTAGGTATAATGCTAGTCTTTATGTTCCATTTTTTTGGGTTGATGATTATTATATAACTGGAGCTGTAGCTAGTGCTGCTAATGTAACATATGCGCAACTTGGTTCACTTTATACAATACCTCAACAATTAGCACATACACGTTTTATGTCATCAAAATCATTTTATACAATTATGTTTGGACATTTTGTAAGAAAATCAATTTATTTTTAATTTAATATTATTTTGAAAATTATTTTATTTTTTTTTCCGTTATTTAAGCCTGGTTCAATGAATAATATGCGTGAAATTTGGCGTCGAATATTAATAATGCAAAAATATAAATTTCCAACACGTGTTGAATTATTTTCATTTAGTTGGGATGAAAAAATACATCAAAATGACAATCAAATAAACTAATTATTTTCTTTTTGTTTTTTTCTTCTTTTGTTTATTTTTATTTGATACAATATCTTCCCAACATATACATTTGTCTGATATATTTGTTAACTCATTTTTCTTTTTATTTCAAAACAAAAGAAAAAACAAAACAAAACAATTTGATCTTTTCTTTGCTTCTTGTTTTTGTTTTAATTCTCTCTCTAATATTTTTCAAGTACTTTTTCTAATAATTTATTTAAACCCGTAAGTACTAAACGTGGATCTTCAACTAGACCAGCTGTAACCAATGCATTATCGATTAACTAGAAAAAAGAAAAATTAATTTTTTTTTCCAAATATAAATTCAAAATTCTATACTTGTTGACCAAGCATTGTTGCTAATTGTGTATTATTTGATTTATGAAGTGTATAAAGTTTTTTAATTAATATATGTTTTGGATTAATATCAAAATTAAGTTGAAGAACTTTATAGATTTCTTGTTGTTTATTTCTTTGAAGTAGATTTGTTTTTAAGAAATGACGAACAGCACCCATTTCATTTGTTGTTATTATACATGGATGTTGATCAAGTTTTGTATTGATCTAAAGAAGAAAAAAAACAAATTTCATGAAAAGACAGCAGTACACAAAAGTCGGGTTTTTTCTTTCAGATCATCCATTCATAACTTGTTTCAAACATAGAAGAATGAATTGCATAAATTTTCAGACAGAAAACAAGTAACTTAAGTCTAAAACAATAAAATATTTTGAATCATTATAAAAAACTAGGTGAACTTATATGTGTTTCAAATTTTGCGTCGAACTTTGTTTTTCTCAAAAGATTCAGCTGAGATTACCCTCAGAATCTTTCAGTCAGAAAAAAAATGAATTCAATCAAGATACGATTATTTTTTGTTTAGTTGTTCTTTCCTTTATCATCTAATGATGTTATTCAAATTAAGAACTTGTTTTTCATTGCTCATATGATTTTCTAATTGAATTCATTGTTTTTGACTAGAGGATCCTGAGGGAAAAATTCAACTGAATTTTTTGAGAAAAAAAGAAGTTCGACACAAACTTCGAAACACATATAAGTTCATCTAGGTTTTTATGATGATTCAAAATATGTTATTGTTTTTTTGGATTCAAATTACACTTTTTCGCTATGAAATCGATTAAATTTTAGTCAAAAATGTTAAAAAATAATGATTTTAAGAAATTCAAGTGCACTTTCTTTTAACAAAGTTTACCTCTAGAAAAACTAAAAATAATATATTTTTTATAGTTTTTCTTTCGAACTATTAGAATTGATCAGTAGTACTTCATGTTACTATTTTTTTTTCTTTACTCGAGATATTAAGAAAACAGTAAGCAGAAGTACTCATATAAATATATGATTCTCATACTTGTTTGAAACAATAGTTATATCAATACTTCAATCATTCGAGTTGAAATTTTCACCAAAA